CTCCCAGTACCTCGAGCCTCTGGTTGAACTGGGCCTTGAGCTCGAAGTAGGGCCGGCTGCGGGCGATGTCGCGCCGCAGGGATTTCTGCAGCCGCTGCACCTCGGCCTCGGCCTCCTGGCACAGCCGCGTCACCCGCTGGTGCTCCCGCTCGCTCCAGAGCCGCTCCTGCTCCGCCTCGTTCACCTGGAATTCCCAGAGATCCCGGAATTCCCACGGGGAAGGGGGAATGCCCAGGAATTCGCAAAAAAACCCGGCGAAAATCGGGTGAAAAACGGCCAGAAACGGCAAAAAAAGGGCTCCGAAATGGCTCAAAATCGTCCCAAAAATTGGGGGTGTTTGGAGTGGGGAATGGAGGAAATTCCTGGAAAATTCTTGGGAATGAGGGAAATTCCTGGAAAATTCTTGGGGATGGAGGAAATCCCAAAAATTCCCAAAAACCCCCGTGAAATTTGGGTGAAAAACGGTGAAAAAATGGCAAAAAATGGCAAAAAAGGGTAAAAAAAGACCCAAAAATTGTTGGGATTTGGGGTTGGGAATGGAGAAAATCCTGGAAAAATTCTTGGGAATGAGGGAAATTCCTGGAAAATTCTTGGGGATGGAGGAAATCCCAAAAATTCCCAAAAACCCCCGTGAAATTTGGGTGAAAAACGGTGAAAAAATGGCAAAAAATGGCAAAAAAGGCAAAAAAAAGACCCAAAAATTGTTGGGATTTGGGGTTGGGAATGGAAAAAATCCTGGAAAAATTGTTGGGATTGAGGGAAATTCCTGGAAAATTGTTGGGATTGAGGGAAATTCCTGGAAAATTCTTGGGGATGGCGGAAATCCCAAAAATTCCCAAAAAACCCCATGAAATTTGGGTGAAAATTGGGTGAAAAAGGGCAAAAAACGGCAAAAAACCGGCTCCGAAATGGCTCAAAATCGTCCCAAAATTTGTTGGGATTTGGGGTCGGGAATGGAGAAAATTCTGGAAAAATTATTGGGAATGAGGGAAATTCCTGGAAAATTCTTGGGGATGGAGGAAATCCCAAAAATTCCCAAAAAACCCCGTGAAATTTGGGTGAAAAACGGTGAAAAAATGGCAAAAAATGGCAAAAAAGGGTAAAAAAAGACCCAAAAATTGTTGGGATTTGGGGTTGGGAATGGAGAAAATCCTGGAAAAATTGTTGGGATTGAGGGAAATTCCTGGAAAATTCTTGGGGATGGAGGAAACCCCAAAAATTCCCAAAAAACCCCATGAAATTTGGGTGAAAATTGGGTGAAAAAGGGCAAAAAACGGCAAAAAAACGGCTCCGAAATGGCTCAAAATCGTCCCAAAAATTGGGGGTGTTTGGAGTGGGGAATGGAGGAAATTCCTGGAAAATTCTTGGGAATGAGGGAAATTCCTGGAAAATTCTTGGGGATGGAGGAAACCCCAAAAATTCCCAAAAAACCCCATGAAATTCAGATGGAAATTGGGTGAAAAATGGGCGAAAAACGGCAAAAAAAAGGCTCCGAAATGGCTCAAAATCGCCCCAAAAACTGGGGGTGTTTGGAGTGGGGAATGGAGGAAATTCCTGGAAAATTCTTGGGAATGAGGGAAATTCCTGAAAAATTCTTGGGGATGGAGGAAATCCCAAAAACTCCCAAAAACCCCGCGAAAATCGGGTGGAAATTAAGTGAAAAATGGGCGAAAAACGGCAAAAAAACGGCTCCGAAATGGCTCAAAATCGTCCCAAAATTTGTTGGGATTTGGGGTCGGGAATGGAGAAAATTCTGGAAAAATTATTGGGAATGAGGGAAATTCCTGGAAAATTCTTGGGGATGGAGGAAACCCCAAAAATTCCCAAAAAACCCCGTGAAATTTGGGTGAAAAACGGTGAAAAAATGGCAAAAAAGGGTAAAAAAAAGACCCAAAAATTGTTGGAATTTGGGGTTGGGAATGGAGAAAATTCTGGAAAATTGTTGGGATTGAGGGAAATTCCTGGAAAATTGTTGGGATTGAGGGAAATTCCTGGAAAATTCTTGGGAATGGAGAAAATCCCAAAAAAAAAAGGTTAAAAATGGGAAAATCCCCAAAAAAAAGGAGTCAAAAATGAAAAAATAAACCTGAAAAATCGTAAAAAAACCCAAAAAAGTTCCAAGATCTTCTCCAACCCATTCCAAACCTTCTCCAAACTCCATCCCACCTTCTCCAAACCTTGTTCCACCTTCTCCAAACCTCCTTCCACCGTCACCAAACCATTCCCACCTTCTCCAAATTCCACTGCACCTTCTCCAATCCCCATCCCACCTTCTCCAATCCTTGTTCCACCTTCTCCAAACCCCATCCCACCTTCTCCAAACCCCATCCCACCAATCCCAAACCTTGTTCCACCTTCCCCAAACTTCCTTCCACGGTCACCAAACCATTCCAAACCTTCTCCAAATTCCACTGCACCTTCTCCAAACCTCATCCCACCTTCTCCAAACCTTGTTCCACCTTTCCCAAATCTCCTTCCACCTCCACCAAACCATTCCAAACCTTCTCCAAACCTCATCCCACCTTCTCCAATCCCCATCCCACCTTCTCCAACCCATTCCAAACCTTCACCAATCCTTGTTCCACCTTCTCCAAAACCCATCCCACCAATCCCAAACCTTCTCCATCCATCCCAATCCCCATCCCAAACCTTCTCCAAACCTTGGTCCACCTCCTCTAACCCATTCCAAACCTTCTCCAAACCTGATCCCACCTACTCCAATCCTTGTTCCACCTTCTCCAAACCCCATCCCACCAATCCCAAACTTCTCCATCCATCCCAAACCCCATCCCACCTTCTCCAAACCTTCTCCAAACCCCATCCCACCTTCTCCAAACCTCATCCCACCTTCTCCAAATCTTGTTCCACCTTCTCCAAACCTCCTTCCACCTCCACCAAACCATTCCAAACCTTCTCCAAACCTCATCCCACCAATCCCAAACCTTCTCCATCCATCCCAAACCCCATCCCACCTTCTCCAAACTCCATCCCACCTTCTCCAAACCTTGTTCCACCTTTTCCAAATCTCCTTCCACCGCCACCAAACCATTCCAAACCAATCCCAAACTTCTCCATCCGTCCCAAACCCCATTCCAACTTCTCCAAACCCCATCCCACCTTCTCCAATCCTTGTTCCACCTTCTCCAAACCCCATCCCACCAATCCCAAACTTCTCCATCCGTCCCAAACCCCATTCCAACTTCTCCAAACCCCATCCCACTTTCTCCAAACCTTGTTCCACCTTCTCCAAACCACATCCCACCAATCCCAAACCTTCTCCATCCATCCCAAATCCCATCCCACCTTCTCCAAACCCCACCCCACCTTCTCCAATCCTTGTTCCACCTTCTCCAAACCCCATCCCACCAATCCCAAACCTTCTCCATCCATCCCAAACCCCACCCCACCTTCTCCAAACCTTGTTCCACCTTCTCCAAACCCCATCCCACCAATCCCAAACCTTCTCCATCCATCCCAATCCCCATCCCACCTTCCCCAAACCTCCTCCAAGCCATCCCAACCCCATTCCCAGGATTCCCACCTTCCTGGTGGCGTGGTTGAGCATCTCCTGCCAGGTGGGGTCCAGGCGGTTCTTGCCGGTGCCCATGCCCTGCTCGGCCACGAAGACCATCTCCCGCGCCGCGTTGTGCATCCCCACCGCCCGCTCGTAGCGCAGCGCCGCCCGCTGCGTCTCCTGCTGCGCCTGCAACGACGGAACCCCGGCAATTCTGGGAATTTCGGGACACGTTCCCGGTGGGTTGGGTGGAGTTTGGTGGGTGGGGTGGGGTTTGGAGGAGGTGGGGTGGGGTTTGGGATGGGTTG